CTATGTATGAAAGGTTTTTTTTCTTACTTGTTAAATTAAGAATTAATCTACCTGTTAATTTAAAAATCTAAAAGTATCTGTCACGGTTTAGAACTGTTCACTATTTATGGGAGAAAATGTGTAAGCGGCCAGATAGCTTAATCGCTACAGCCACGATACATTATTATGTGGATCACAGGTTCGAGTTCTGGACAAGCTGAAAGTTTTTCTCATCCTGTGACTGCATAAAACCCTGAGTTTAATTCACTATGCTCTGTAAACATCAGAAATTCAAGGACACAAATCAATATAGTGGGTAAATATGTTGTGGTTTAGAACTGTTTCATTATTAAAGAGAAAATGTGTAGCTGGCCGGATAGCTCAGTTGGTCTTCTGACATCATGTGTTCGAGTCATGGACAGGCAGTTTCAGTCAGGGCTTAGAAGTGGTTTTTCAACTGACACATGTTTGATTCATTTAACAGATTGTATTAAATTTAAAATTGACAAAGGCAGTATTGCATGATACTTTAGATCTACAAAAGGCATTTGATACAGTTGATCACACTATACTGCACATGAAGAAGTTCTTCTTCCTCTTCATGAAACTTCAAGCATTTGCCATAGATAATGACATTTTACAGGGTTCAAGTCTTATCTCTGATAGACAGCAGCTGGTGGATGTGGCGGGAACTCATTCTACTACTGCTCCGAGTACCTGTGGTGTCCCCCTGAGGTTCATTTTATGTCCTCTTTTATGTTTAAAATATGTCAATGACATGTCTGCAACCCTAAGCAATAAGCTTTTATTATTTGCTGATGACTCAGGTATCCCTGTATCTGGTAAAATAAATCTGAAGAAATTCTCTCTTATGGCATGAGTCTTATAAGATTAGTTAATTGACTATAAATTGTCTTTGCATCTTGGCAAGACAGTCTATTTTTTTTGGTTTAAGTTTCAAATTAAATTGGGCCTAGCCTTCAGGTCACATCATCACATCTGTTGTTAAGTATTAAGGTACAAAACTTGATCAAACTTTTTTTTGGCGTCGCCTTTGATGCTTTGCATCAATGCTTTTCTTGTTATTTATATGTTTTAGTTGATGTGTTCTTTTTATTTATTTATATTTTGCTTTTTCGCATATTGTCAAACACAAAAACTGTTTAATGTAAATGAATAAAACATCCTTTATTAGATTCGATTGTACATGTAACTTTAAATCGTATGCAAATTCACTGAACAGTCGTGACTTTATCACGTTTTAAAATGTAGATCTGTATTGAAGGAAAAGCGGGACAAGTATGTGAGTTTCAACTCGATTACATAACATTTAAGGCCCTGGATCATGAGCAAAATATTGTGAATAAAAGATTGTGAAACATCATTTTGACCTACTCTTGTTTAACAAAAATAGATAACGATACCGCAGCGGTATCTTTCTGCTCACTAATTCTAGATTACCTTTTTCGGCGGATATCTCAACATTTGTGTTATTGGGCGAATATCTTTTGACCGGTGTTAGTGGTCTTTGACCGTGTGGTCGGCCATTTAGCCACGTCCATTAAATATGTCTATGCTTTATTAAGGAAGGGCTGCAAAAATTATTTTCCCGGCCGATGCCTTCAAGTGGCTAGTCGAAAGTCGAAGAAGCAGTATTTGATATGTAAATGTAGGTCCATACTAAGCGCTTTATCATTGTATGTTGTCGAGGCTTTTGACCGTGTCTTCTTTATTATACTTTACCTAAATCATATATGAAGAAAAGATGTGAGAATCTCCAGTAGCAGACAACTTGATGATTTCTATAGAGAACATCTAAATCTACATTGCTAACACATGGTACCCTCATTTATTCACTGATATTGGTTACAGGAAGTAAGTTTGAAGTCGAAGTTTATTAGCTCAGTCATTGTTTTGTTCGTTTCAGGAAAGGTATTTTGCACTTGAGCAAATGTATTCCGCCTTTTACGGAATTGAGAATAGTTTCATGAGTATCGCTTTAGTAACAGACTCACATATTAAGTGAATGTATTTTTTTCAATTGAACCAACTTTAACAACGTGAACGGGTATCGAAATAAATACATGTACACGTATATTCGAAAATATCTGCCCCAAAAACACTGTTATCTGTTACTATCAGTCGAGATTGTACGCAAAGTAACCTATATATACATTCAAGTTCAAATCGAAAGCATCTGAACAAAATAAAGTTGATTCATTTGCGGTTCAAAGATAACATGACATTGAACTAAAGAACGCTGCATGACGTGGACATTTTCAAAGACGTTTTTGTAATAACACCAAAATGTCGTTTTGAACAAAAAATTGATGCTAAATGTCCATTTTCTCTTTTTGTTCGGTGCCCTCCTGGATATGGTCGGGATGTTTCTGTGAGGCTTGATGCTTGTAGCTGCGTTCATTGAACGTTGTATGTCCTTGTTGACCTCGTACTCACATCTATTGGTGTTTTTCTGGTGCATCGTTCATTAAATTTTGTTATTCCTCCACAATTTATGAAGGGGACATGATATGTTTTTCAAAGGTGGTTGATGATGCCAACGACTGACTTAAAATTCATCCGCACACTAAAATATGAAATTGTAAATGATAAAGTGTCTTGATTACATACGGCGTCATCATGCTCACACATGCACAGATTCATAGCATTTACTAAAACATCACACTTGTCTGCGTCATTTCGTTTTGATTATACTTATCTAACGCCTAAAGTTCGCTACTAAGTTATAAAGATTCAGCTATTGATTTGCACTTAAAATCAGAGTAAATATCATTAAAATTGATCAAGTGACAAAAACCCTTTATTATAAACTTAAAGTTCACTGAACGCCGCCTTTCCTTGTTGATCTACTTTATCATATTTTAACTTTTGCGACAATATATCCTTCGTATGTTTGTATAGGGTAGGGTGTCAGTCATGTATTTTCAGCTAGAGCCAATAAAATAAATGTATCACTGATATAGCTTTTTTGTCAAGAGATGTTATTCACAACGTTTGACGAAAGTTCACATTATTAGCAGCTTTGTGTTCTCTTAAAAACACAAATGGAGTGATATAGATCACATAGGTCACTTCGTACTTACCAATGGCGTAAATGGATATTCCTTCGGAGTAGTGCTGAAGAACATGATTGTGTAGACTCGTGAGACCAACGCTTAACTCGGGTTTGTTTGACCACGCTAAGTCTTGTTGGTAATGGAATTTTTTTTTAATTTTATTTAAACTCATGTGGGATTAAAGCTCTTCAACATTTTAAATTTCGCCATTATAACTATTCTTTATGAATTCCGTTTCTCTCTTTTAATGATTGAAACAAACATTTGAAATTAAAATTTGATTAAATTGAAGTTTTATAGGTAACAAAAAAACCAACAACAACCCCCCAAAAAAAACCCAAAAAACCAACAACTAGAACTTAAAAAAAAATTGTATATCTTTTATATATTTGAATATTGGTACTATGCCTGTCTTTGACTTACACTGTTTGAAAGATTTTAAATTTTGATATTCGAACTGGGTAAATTAAACTTGAAGTTCAGCACGAAATGCAACAAATTCCTAGTTGTAACACTAAAGATGTAATGCTTAGAAAATACCTGTAAATGACAGAAAAATTAATAACACACATGTGATAGGAAACTTCGTCAACAATACTAAAGGCATATTTTTTCATATATTAAATCGTTTGTTTGTTTAGAATACCCCTAGAAACAAGATTATAGCGGATATGCAGACGACAGGAAATGAGACGCTGAATCCAGACGCACTGTTACACAAGTCAGACGTACAAGAACATGCATGAATATCGTCTTTTTCTTCACACTTGTCGCCTCCATTTACATCTGAACAGCTTCTGATCACAACTGTTAATTTAAAAAGGTTACATATATGAGTAAAACTAAACGATAGTATTGGAGCACCTAACTTAATACTGAATTCCGTATTATATTGGACGAAGCGCTTGAATGAATACATGCTAAAATCTCGCCTTTTCATCTGCCGAAATGCATTTTAAGGTGTCTAATTTATCGGTTCACACCGATTCATATACAATCATTAATGAAAAATGTAAAAATCGGCGAAAGATAGATATTTTTACTTTGTGATCATTATTTCTGCAAACGTCTAAGGTACTGCTCTGGCACGGTAGAAAACCTACTTAAACCTACTTAAAACATAACTAAAAGTAAAACTGTCACTTAATGTCTAAATCAACCCTAGGAATGACATTTGCTTAGGCAAGATTAAACTTGTAGTGGGATTTGACGGTAGCTTGCACTTTCCAGATCCGACCATGACCAGGGTTAAACAATCAGAGCCTGCATCATTTTATGTTTTTGTGCCTTCTATAGGTGGGATTATGTTTTTTCTGAATTTTAAATGAGTATGTTTGCGCCACATGGGCAACAACATTTTCTATAAATACAACAAGTGTGATGTTTTTCTGTCGTCCTCTTTATTATAATTCTAAACTAACAACTAAAATTAAAGAACGGAAAGAACTATCGATAATATCCAACCTTTGTAATATGCTTTTATAAAATAATCTTACTTTTGGTACATTTTGGTATTATTGCTCATTGCAAAAAAGGGATTCTTTAGGGACTTATTATATGTTTTCGACAAAGTCATAAATTTTATTTACGTTTGAACATTAACTTTTGTGCAAAAAATCAGATCATTCGCTCATTCCGATTTTCCAGAAGAATAATTTTTAATGAACAAAATGATCAGAAATGAAAAGCGTATTAACGTTGTTAGCATAAATCGTGCTAAGAATTGGACTAATTTCCTTTTCAATATAAGTATATTTCTTTATTATTTTTAAGCGCCCCGGTTGGCACAAATTGATCTATATTAATTTTCAAACTTTGTTTTGATCTCAGTGGAGCCCGTTGTCTAATGATGTTTACTGTCACATTCATGCATATATTTTTACATGTATTTATAAATATTCAAATATTTATTTTAGAATTATACATATTTCAGTCAACACTTACCACCGTTAACTTTGGCCTTTTTACACGACCCTGTGCATGTTTTTGTTGCAATTCCATTATTGTTGAAAGGGTCGTTGCAAGCAAGACAATCGTAACATTTTATTGACTGTTCGCTTGTCACTGAAAATAAACAAGAAAATTCTTTATGAAAGTTACCTTGTTGATTTAGAGCATGATAGGTAGAGCGTTTGACTGTGAATCCGGCGACCCGGATTCGTTTCCCGGTCGGTGCAGGTCCCTTTCGTTGTGATTGTTGTGAAATCCTTTATACGGTTATTTACACTGTACCTCTGCTCTGGCATGTACAAAAGTTGTCTGCTCCATGCGAAAGTTAAGCCAACTAGTACTAGTTTACTGCTTGACCACCTGCAATGGAGCGATGCAGTGGCTGAACTACTCTGAACTACGCTCTGGATAATTCAGTGTGGTCGCGCTCCGGAGGGAACACCACGAAAACGACAACTGCTTTAACCTTGTTTAAACGTCACTGAATATTTTCTTAGTTCAATATAAATAAAATTCGAATCAGGAATATTAGCAATAATAAGAAATGTCAAAACATTGACTTGTTCCTGAAAACGTTTCAACTCAAATAAATGATTGACCTCAAATATAGCTAGCTATAAGGAATTATGAACTGATGTCATAAAGGCAAGTTTTCGTTCCTACCACAATCTCTATTTTATGTTCAATAAACTTATACAGAGAGATAAGATATATTTCCACCTTAAAAAGTATGCAATTTATAAAATCAGCATATAAAGTCGTATCTATCACTTTCTTTGTGTTTTCACTAAAATACAAACAAAACTTACTTCATTTTAATATTCGTCATATCGTCATATAAATAGATATCAAGTTACAGTACTCTTCCGTCAAACCAATTATTCAATTTACACGCACACGCTGAAAATCTAGACTGTTGCTGACCACGCCGTAAAAGCTATTGTATTGGGACAATGCACGAGTCTGTTATACGAGTATAAATAAACAAGAATTATCTTTAAATAGATACTCGGACGAAGAAAAACTTCTTTTACTTGCATGGTGTCTTTGGTATGCACATGTTTATCCGGAATCGTAGGCCGTTATTGGTAGTCTCGTCATTTTAGAGTGTCATTTAAATCTCGGATACTTCTTGTGTTGAATAGGATATTCATAAGAGAATTAATGAAAAATTTAAAAAGAGACTGATGTAAAATATTTATTGGGGGAAGTTCACAGATTTCAAATATCCGTGCAATTTTACTAGAAAGTTTGTTTTAAATACAAGTTTCGATTATTTTATTACTCGGACGTGCATATGTTTCAGGTAGATTATCATACTAATTTTAAAATAGCAAAGAGATTCCTGGATTTCTGTTTTTAATCTTTAAATGAAAATCATTCTAATATTCAGTCCTTCCCTTTTAATTTTATATGAAGTCAAACCGATCTTAGACGGACTTCGTTCGAAAAAGGTTTATACAATTTACATAAAGCAATTTAATCCCACATGGCCATTTTTCTATGAATAGACAATGATTGCAAATTAAAATTTAGGTGATAAATTCTGAAACAAAACTTTCTAGAAAATTAATAAAAAGAATAATGAATAAGATGAATAAGATCAAATTAACAAAAAGTAACTTGCAAAACTCTGTATTCATTATCAGAACGTGATTCGCAAAATAATGCTGTTTGATTGTTTCCTTTAACGAAAAAAAAAAAGAAATTGTCAAACATTTGCCAAAATTTTAGATAAAGATAATTAGATAAGGGTTTTTTTTATTTGCACCGATTTAATAGGTTATTCAAAAAACAGAAACTGAAATAAACGGTGAGGACGATGGCTATCATGATCAAAGTTTCTGGGTAATAAAATAAGTGTTTCAAATTTCAATCAAATTATAATGTTTTAATCAGTTGCTTTAATAAATGAAACAAACAGATGCTTCAGCAAAAAAATAAATATATATTGAGTATTGGATTTAACAAAAAATCTTGAGAAACTGTGATCCTTCGGAAGCATTTATCACGACAAAATTACATTAAAATTGCAAACTCGGTTTCAGTTTGTACATGAGGGACAATGAAAAAGAACAACATCCCTCATGGACCGTATCACCGGCTTGAGCGGTACTCAATTTTGAACACTTAAAAGTGCTGGACTCAACGATTCTGATCGACCAGAAAAATGTTCCCACTAACAATAATGTAAATTCATTTTCAACGAATAAACTGTAATGTATGATTATCTTGTTATAATACAATGTCTTTTCATATTTTTTTTAAAAAAAAAAGATTTTTTTGTAATATAAACATTTTTACTCACCAGTCACAAATAATATCAAAAGACCAAACAGAAATGTGTTTGTAGTGTTCATTGTAAAAGAAAATAAGTTATTATAAATAAATCGAAGAATAAACTTTCTTAAACGCTGTCCAGACCTGAACTGAACTTTGTGCTCAACCTCACCGAACTACTTTTATTCAAGTGGGCGGTAGTCCAACCCTTTTCTTTAACCTTTAAACTTCTTCGCGGATATTATATGTGATTTTTTGAAACAGATTAAACTGTTTTCTTTATCCATTTTATAAACCAATTTATAAATCATACATGATCATGAAGACGACTTGTCCGTTGTAAATAGGCCTATACCATGATTACAATCAATCAATCAATCAATCAATCAATCAATCAATCAGTCTTGATAATTATTATAGAAGTGTAATTTATATCATGATAGTAAGATACATAATACTTTCCTGTTTAAAATTATTTTTGTTCAATAGGATTGCCGTTTTTCAAATGAATCGTAACACATTTACTTTGGTAAATCGGGAAACTGTTAATCAGTCTAGTAAACCAATTGTTTATCAAAATAATTTAAAACACTTAGTAGGTTGAAGTTTATTAGTACGTATTTACCAAATTAAATCACCTGACCAATTTAATTTTGTAAATACGTACTAATAATCTTTAAGCTGTACTTAATAGTAAAGTTGAAGTGTTTTTATTTTCATGTTTATTTAGAACAGAGGAGTTTCAGTTAAGTTCATGATGCTTAACTCTTCTTTTTATTAATAAATTGACAGCATCGTCAACTGTATAAATATTGTTTCATAGCGGTTTGAACTTGTAACAGGAGGCTTTTCAGTGAAAACGGCCATTTACAATATGCTCATGAGGGAAAGGGTTAACTAAAAAAATTATAAATGTTACAAACAACAATGTTTCATCAAAATTAGGTGAAAGACCACATTTTAACTTGGAAAAAACTAGTTTTTGGGTGATTCCAATGTTTTTCATCATTTTTTGTTAAAAGTTTGTCGTTTTGAGAGTATAAAGGGAAGCCATTTTTGTTTATTTCAAGTATGGTTAATACTGTTATGGTTTTCTGCTCCCAGCAGATCTGAAAAAAGTAAATGGGCGATCCCTAAAAATTAAACAAATATAATAATTGGAAAAAGCAAAGTCGATGTACACACAGAAAAAGCGTCCGTTTAAGGTATTGTATGTATAATTCACACTTTTTCAAAAGGCATTTAAAACATTTTAGTATTAAACTTTACTATATTCTGGACATGAATACAAAACATTATATATTAAAGTTTACATCTTGTTTGAAAAATATTGACAATTTTAATTTATTTCTGTTTCGTTTTGCAGGAGATACAGCATTAGGCATTTAATACCTTAATATATACAGACCTTGATTACACATTCCCATGTATCTTGATTATCAACAGTCCGTTCACCTGACCTTACCTATTTCGTCAATCACATGAGAGTTGATACAATATTAGGTTAAAGATCAACAAGGATGAGTAACGCCAACGTACCTCTAGCCGTAACACAACGTACAGAACATATCTACAGTTTTATCATGGGATATGATAGCGGTGAATACAAGAAATCTGTGACATTTTCATAAAATCATTTTTAATCTACCTTAAATTTATACTTTTGGAGTAAGACACCTGCTGCTAGAGGACGTAGATATATACAGATTGATAACACTTAAAATTTAAAGATGTGTTGAATCATAAAATCAAATAATATTGTAGATTGATTGAAAGACGATATATTTTGTCTTGTGAAATATATATCATATAATATTCGGCAAATGAGTAGTAATTGAACGCTATATTTTACATTACCGATTAATATTTAAGCTTAATGTCCACTCAGCATTTCGACTTTATCTCGGCTAATAAAGCTTATAATTTTATGTTTTGTATTTCATTTTTTAATTCACTTGGAGATATTGTTAGCACATCCTTGATGAACGTAACATTTAATTTGACGAATTGGATAAGAGATACTGGTATATATCGTAAGATACTGCATGATCTAAGAGTCATAAGAAGAAAGGCATCAAAACAAGAGGCTATCTGATTTCTACGAAGGGAGAGGGTACCCCCCCCCCCCAAGTGTTATTTAGATTGACGAGTGTTTTGATTTTCTTTCTCTTTGGCAAAAATAAAAACACGTTCTCTGTTGTCAAAATATGAAACCCCAGATAAAAGTAACCAATAAACGAGCACTTGAATATGATATTTCTATCGCTATCACTTTCTTTGTCGTCACAATATGTAAACCAAAATGAGCTAATCAATTGGCATGCTCTGGAATGCGGGTGACTAAAACATGCACTCCAGTTTACGCACTGTGCATGTATATGTATACGATTAAACTCTGACACATTTTCAACAGAAAGGTCCCAAAACTATGATACATATTTTCGTAGTCTTATTTCAAGTATAATATAATAAATATATTTTTGGTGACACACCACAAAAAAGCTTCGGGCCACCAGTATATCATACATACATATTTTACATTTCTAATGCTGATACCATAAAAATAGATAATTGTATTAAGATTGCTGGAACTGTGGCATGTGCAACCTGTATGTTGGCTCATCGTGAAGTCGGGGGTACTCCCGACCATCACTCATCGAGAGTCGGGAGTGCAAATGACACGGCCTAGGGCGCGTGTTGTCGCAGTAAGACCGTTTTGGAGACTGTAGGCCACAGGTCGTGCTCTGGTTGAGTTCAGGTCCATGATAGAATGAGCAGAGACTATCAGTTCCGGCTTATTTTAATATTATTTGAATCTTATACTTAAGGACAATGAAAACGCACGCCCGCACTATATGCATTTTATTACATGAAAACAAAACTCTAACAACTCCATTAGATATATATCATAACTTTAATACAAAACGCAAACTTAACAACTGAAAATAATTCAAAAAGTTTAAAATCAAATGTACAACAATAAATCGAAGAACCTTAGGTGAAAATTCCAAAATCACACATTTTCGTCACAGTAATGCAAACTTAACAAAGGCAAAAACCAAAATGAAAAACCCAAAACAAAGTCACTCATAATAAATGTCTATTCGTAATGTCACCGTCGGGATCTTTAGAAACGACAATATCCTCCATCAGCGTCTCTTACAGTTGACATCGTTGCCTCATAGACCTTAGTGTGCGGATAGACGCCTGTGGAAACTGATGCCATTCAGCCTGTAGTGAAGTGCGAAAACGCTGGTGAAGCCGAGCAATTGTTGACCGATGGACACCAAAACGCTTGGCGCTTTGATAATACAAAATTTGATTGTAAGATAGACCAGACTGAATCAGTCCTAAATCTACCCAGCGGTTAATTCTTTGTAGAATCATTGCATACAATTTGCTAGCAAGTCTTCAGTAGTGTTTGAAATTAAGCACCTTTTATAGAGGAAAAGTATGTATATGTAATTTCAATGTGAGCTTTTACGATTTCTAAAACTGACCATTGGCATAGTTTAATATTCATTTTCATAAAAATTCTAATTGCTCATTTGTGTCTAACATTTCTAGAAAGGTGTGAAAACAAGTTAATAATTAACAGTTTAAAAAAAATAAAAAATTTCATTTCATAAAGTAACCATGAATTGATTAAATCTGTTTTCTGTTGTGAACTGATCACAATTAGCTAAAAGTGTTACTTTTGATTTTTCGGGTACTGTCTTTATCATGCAATAACTTCATTAAAATGCAATCATTTCTCATTACTTTGGTATCTAAATGACCGGAATGCATTCGGTTTTATGAAACTGTGAAAAAATACTTAAGAGAAATATATTTTCCTTGTTAAAATGCAATTATTCCGACCGTGCGTTTTCATTGTCCTTAAGTATATAATGTGATTGGGTACTTTGAAAAACTACCTTAATTCAAGAAGAAAATTTGAAGTTCTTCTAATAAAGGGAAGTAAATGAGTTTACGTTTACATATGTTATATAAATTATGGTGGTTATCCTACATTATAAGACACGACTTTTTAGAAGCATAGCTTACTTTCGCGAAATTTTATCATTTTCTTTCTTTTGCATTTATACACAAATTTAAGCTACTGCAATAATACATGTAAAGATCCTGTGATCGATCAACGGTCTATTTTAATACAGATAATCCTTCTCCATGGTGTTAATAAGTCTACCTACCATATATATGAACTACACATAACATAATACTTTGAAATTCATATAATACCTAATCTGTTTTTCGTATACCCTTCTGGTTTAGGTTTGGATGACAGGATGAGAAAAAAAGAAAGATAGTTTATTGTAAATAAATGAAAGTAAAGAAAATCTCAAAAATATCTGTTTATTAATATGATATGATTCAATTATAAACCATTGTTTTCTTCTAACGTATTTTCATATTATCTCATCAATTCTAAAATTTATATTATAAATGTAATGTGTAATTGTTTCACAATCTACCATATAGCTTTATGTGTATAAAGCTATATTTCCACTGCCTGCAGATCATGATTAAGAAAATCGTGTATTGCCTTTTATAACACTAAAAATTTTTATAAATGCATAATATTATGTCTAAAACGGTCTGGCTTGTTAAAAAATTTAAAACAGTTCTGAAATGAAATATAACGGCATAATTAGGTATTTTACATAGCAACACTTTTTTCCTTGAAACGCTAAAGATTATACTTGAAAACGACTGGAAAGAAGACACACGTGTGATAGGAATAAATCTGTCAATAATACTAAAGGCAACGTGTGATAGAACAAATCCGTCAACAAAACTAAAGGCTTATTTTTTCCATATAAATCGTTTGTTTCGTTTAGAACAACCTTAGAAACAAGATGAGAGCGTTTATGCAGACGACAGGAAATGAGACATTGAATCTAGACCACTGTTACACAAATCAGACGTACATGAACATGCATGATTATCGCTATCATTGTCACACCGGTCGCCTGAATTGATATCTTAACAGCTTCTGACCACAACTGTGAATGTAAAAAGTTACATTATATATGAGTAAGACTTAAAATAGTATTCGAGGACCACACTAAATACTATATTTCAGTATATACTGGACAAAGTGCTTGAATGATTAAATGGAAATATGTCGCCTTCTATTCATCTATTCACACCGATGTATATACAATCATGAATTAAAAATGT